ATTATTGACGGATGAAATGTTTTTGTATTTTGCAAAATAATAATTTTGCTCACAAAGGATAGACGATGTAATCTAAACGTCTTACTCAAGTTCTAGTTGTTCTGAGTTGTTGCTCAGATTGTTTTTCATTATCATTATTCTTTAGTGAATAATGAAAAGTGACTGAGTGTTTTGCTTCTCCCCAAACATAAAAATAATTATATCCTTCAATTATTTTTAATGTATTATAGGCGTCAAACCACCACTATTGAGGTTCCAGAATAATTATTCACTTCCTGTCTACCGCGAATGGCATGAATGTGGTGAATAATTGATTTCAAACAGACCACGCGACGCTTAACGAAAATAGATAGGTACTTTATCACAATTCGATTTCATTCCATTATATATTTACCATTACTAGTGCCAAAGAGAAGCAATGTCTATTGATTTCCTAACCGTATTTACATAAATTAGTAACAATTTGTTGGCAAAAAATAATAAGAGAGAAAAATATTTGTGATATTTTTATGTTCAGAGTGAGAGTAACTTGATAAGTTAGAAAATATCTCTCAATTGTTCAATTTTGTTTTGTTACTTTGATCAAGTCACATAAATATGTTTGTTTGATGTGTTTGTTTTCCAATAGTGTCCGGCCGAAACTGGTTTTTACGACCGAAACCGAATTTCGGCAACGGTCTCAGTTTCGACCGAAACCAAAACTTCCTTACAAGGATTATGTGTTGAGGGAAAAATAAAGAAAACGTTATTATAATAAGTCAGTCTCTATTTTGTTACTTTTAAATCACAACTTTATGCAGTCTTCGACAATTTCACTTATTGATAATCTACAAATCAACATAACAGCCCCTTATTTAAGAAAAAATATTATTTGTATGTGTATATTCTTTTTTTGAATATTATTGATGATTTTTCAGAAATATTTAACATTAAATCAGGCACTTATTTGAGTTGTCACCTAATATTACAATAGATACTTAATATTTATGGGATAAACAAAGTAGTTGAATAGAACTGGCCGACACTTGATGAAAATCCATATTAAAAAACTAATCAATACAGTTTATTGTATGATTTTCACTATAAGGGTTTTACAAAAACCGCGACACGTGTTTCGCTATACAATAGCTTCTTCAAGAATAAACTGAAAGTTACTTCTAAATTACACCATTTTATACTATAAACTAGTACCTATTCGTCTACCTAAATAATAAATCTACCTGAAAAGGTCAGGTATGAATTCATACTATACCTGCTAATGAACAGATTCAATTCAGTTTGATCGTTCATAAGATGTTGAGAGTTTTTGAATTTGTTTATTTCCATACTCTCCAACAGGTTAAGTTTCGAACCTTTCTTCTGGAAATGGAGGGGTTTGTAATCATGGTTGAACTCATGTCCCTCTAAGAATAAATGACTGGCACATGTGGAATTTATTTTTTCATTCTGAAAACTATATTTGTGTTCCTTTATGCGGGCTTTGAACGTTCTTTCAGATTGACCTATATAAAACATCGGACATGACCCACACGATAATTTATACACTCCTGATTTTTCTGAAACTGAACTGTTATCTTTGTGGTTGTTGTTTGGAAAGCAGTATTTACACCTTTGCTGTGCCGAAAATCTGAAATATTTGTAGTGGGTTGGCCTAGGTAGGTTAAGGTTCTATAACTTCTATCCTCTTCCCTTCGAATTGCGTAAACTTCTTTCAAAGCTTGACTGTATAACATTTTTGATAATAAAGAATGTATCAGACCGCTATCGTAATCATTGTTGACGGCTATTTGCTTTATAATATTCAGTTCTTTATTGAAATTTGCTTCTTACAAGGGTACATTTATCAATGGAAAGAAAGATACAGTACAGCAAAAAAGACGTTGCCAACATCTATCTTAAAGTGAACTATTTTCACAACATAAGTTCTTTGACAAATTTGTCAATCTCACGAAGACCAGTTTCACAGAACATGAAACTCGTCAATTACAAAAAGATATCAATTACAATATCAAACCCAACATAAATTCGACAAATTTAGAAGTTTTGGGAATTGATACAGATATCGCGTTGATGGGGACCTGCTACGCCAATAAACATATTGCTGCAGTAATTTTAAAATCTGAAAAGATTCATAAAGGTAGGTTCAATCCGGAATTGAAACTAGTGAAATCCATAAAAGAGAAATCGGCAGAAGATAACATTGTTTATACGCGACCGGATAGAAGAAAAACGGTCATAGCCATGAATAAAGAAGAATACGTGGAAAAGACTTTAGACTTTCTAAATGCTGGCATGTACGATAGTCTCAGAAACGACCCCACCCATTTATATTAGAAAGAAGTCAAGGAAACTTTGAAAAAATATTCATTGTGTCATGGATGAAAAGGAAAAATTCCGATCGTTAGTCATGAACCCACAACCACCTGAATTGTATTCGTTGATTAAATTACACAAAGATAACTACCCGATAAAACCGGTAGTTTCTTTCGTCACAGCTCCTTCAGTTGAAATATCCGAAAAACTCATTGCAATTATTCAAAACCACACCAATTTCAAATCAAACTTCAGTTTGAGGAATTCATACCATTTGATCAATGAAATTCAAGATATTACACTCCCGGATCATGCCAAATTGATTTCATTCGATGTGAAGAATCTGTTTCCCAGTATCCCTCCGAATGAAACGATTACTCTGGTGGAGAATCTATTGGACAAAAACTCTATCAATCCGGTAGTGAAAAATGAAATATTAGACTTGCTTACGGTGTGTTTGTCACAGAATTACTTCCAATTCAATGAAACGTTTTACTCACCCTGCAAAGGTCTCATAATGGGAAACCCACTTAGTCCTATTCTGGCAGAGCTTTTCATAGAGTAACACACTGGCAAGAAGTTTCGTGTATTGGTATAGATATGTGAATGATATCCTGGTATGTTTTACGGGAAAGAACAGACAGTTGACAAACTTTTTGAAGTTCATCAATTCTCTCCACCTTTCTATCACATTCACAATGGAGATGGAACAGGACGAATCTATAAATTTTTTGGACTTGACAATAACAAAAGTTAACAACAAACATGATTTTTCAATTTATCGTAAACCGGCACATACAGATATTATTATTCATAATTCGTCCACTCTCCTATATCAGCATAAGGTAGCAGCTTTCAAAAGTATGATCCACACACTGATAAATGTACCCTTGTCAGAAGCGAATTTCAATAAAGAACTGAATATAATAAAGCAAATAGCCGTCAACAATGATTACGATAGTGGTCTGATACATTCTTCATTATCAAAAATGTTATACAGTCAAGCTTTGAAAGAAGTTTACCCAATTCGAAGAGGAGAGGATGAAAGTTATAGAACCTTTACCTACTCAGGCCGACCCACTACAAATATTTCAGATTTTCTGCACAGCAAAGGTGTCAATACTGCTTTCAAAACAACAGCAACAACAAAGATAAAAGTTCAGTTTCAGAAAAATCAGGAGTGTATAAATTATCGTGTGGGTCATGTCCATTGTTTTATATAGGTCAAACTGGAAGAACATTCAAAGCCCGCATAAAGGAACACAATTATAGTTTTCAGAATGGAAAAAAAATCTTTCAGTTATTTAATCTCAGAATGACATGAATTCAACCATGAATACAAACCCCTCCATTTCCAGAAGAAAGGTTTGATACTTTCGAAAAATCTATGGATATTATTAATGAATTCATACCTGGCCTTTTCAGGTAGATTTATTATTAAGGTAAACGAATAGGTACTAGGTTATAGTATAAAATGGTGCAATTTAGAAGTAACTTTCAGTTTATGCTTGAAGAAGATACTGTATAGCGAAACACGTGTCGCGGTTTTTGTAAAACCCTTGAAGTGAAAATCATACAATAAACTGTATTGATGAGTTTTGTTTTATAAACAAAGTAAATCACAAAGTGAGTCACAACATGATTAGGCACGTGGACCCGGCGAAATGTCTTTGTCACTTGTATGAAATTCAACGCGCCGAACATGACCGATCACAGCGCGAGAACCCCCGAATGCAGTTTCGGTTTCGATCGTAGTTTCGGCAGGTTGCCGCCGAAATCGAAATTAAACCCAAATCCGTTTTTTTTTTGTGGAAATTCGACCGAAACCGAACTTTCGGTCGGACACTATTTTCCAATTACATTTTTAAATAAAAACACAATCCTAACCGAATTGTATCAGGTATATATTGATAGTCAACTGGATTTGCTAAATTTTAGAAATTTATGTCATTAGTGATTCATTCGTCTCTGATGTTCGCAGTTTCTCTGTCACATTTTTATTGATACGTAAATTCTTTCATAAATAATTGTGTTCAACAATAATGATAGTTTTCATTTCTTGTTGAAGAATACAAAGTTAGTATTACAATATTTTTATGTTCACCTAAAGTAATTAGAAAATCGTCTAGGGGTAGAAATAGTTGAGAAAATTATTGTTCGTGAATGAAACTAATAGATAACTGAATATAAAAAATGCTCGTGTATGTGTACATATGGTCAAAAAACCAGGTCAGAGTGTGTAAAAAATATACAGATATCTGGCGATATCTGGAATTTATTGGAGTCTCTGGAGACACCCTATATTTTATTCTACGAAAGAGGGGACATTGGCAGATCAAGATCTTCAGATGATGTGGTGCTGCAGTTTTTCCGGGTTTTCCTGCAGCTGAAAAAGCAAACGCGCCACTGAAATCAATCGAGTCGCCCCGGAGCGCGAATTGATTTTTGTTGTTGTTTCATAATTTCATAATTTGTATCACTTTATTTTTTTATTTTAAATTTAATGTGGAGAAATCTGCATCTGGTGACAGCCGCTGCCAAATTAACTTAAAAAAAATATATATAAACCAGAAAGGAGCATTCATTACATTCGTACTTTCGGAGAGATGAATGTTCCCTGAATATTACAGAAAGTCCTACTAGTGCTCCTAAACAATTTCGTCAAACAATTATTCCTTTCTTTCCAGCGATATCTTCAGGCACGACAATGATGTGGGTACGTGTGAACATACCCCAATACAGAGTCCCGGGAGAGAACGCAATACTCCACTGTGAATATGATCTACGGAATAATTCCCTTTATGCTGTGAAGTGGTATAAGGAACACGAAGAGTTCTACAGGTTCGTGCCCCGCGAGAGGCCACAGGCGAACTGGTACAAGGTGGAAGGAGTATATGTTGATGTGAGTTTTGATATATTTTAAATTAATATTCTTTTGAAACATTGCGTGACTGGTTTCAATTTGGTTTGTTGAACACGAATTCTGATACCTTGTAAGTATCGAAATCATTAATGTTTCATTCAGAAAAACATCACTACTGAAGATCAGCGGGAAAATAATAATAATAACTCAACTTAGACACTCCAGCCCTAGCGCAGTTCGAAGCTTTCAACAGAGAGCTTCGACAGCCTGAGCCCAATGAACTGCGCAACCCGATAACCCCGGATGACGTTCGAAGAGCCCTTGTGGGTTCCAAGAACTTTGCTGCTCCAGGCCCAGATGGGCTGAACACTTATTGGTGGAAAAAACTACCAAGCACCCACCGCTATCTGGCCAGAGTTTTCAACTCATGGCTGGACGGAGAGTGGCCGATTCCGGATTGGTTTGTCGCGGGGCGGACCGTTCTTATCCCCAAAAGCGGAGATTTGTCGAATCCTAAGAATTACAGACCGATAACATGCTTGAATTCGTGTTATAAGTTGTTTACGAGCATTTTATACACACGAATACTCACCGCAGTTGACCGAGTGTTCGAACGGATATATGAGCAGAGAGGGTCGGAGAGAGGAGTCGCTGGATGTAAAGAGAACCTGCTCATCGATAGATGTGTAACGCAGGACTCGATACAATATAAGCGTAACCTCTCTATGGCCTGGATCGATTACCGTAGGGCATTTGATACAATTTCGCATGAGCTCATCTTGCATTTGCTTAGATGCCTTGCGGTACCCGACAAAATAGTGAGATGCATTGAACAACTGATACCACTTTGGCGAACTCGCTTTACCATAACATCTGGTCAAGCAAGAGTGCAAACAGGGTGGGTCACTTTCAGAAGGGGTGTATTTCAGGGTGATTCCCTCAGTCCCCTTCTCTTCTGCATCTCACTATTGCCATTATCCGTTGCGCTCAGAAACACTCGAGGGTATAACTGTGGCACCCCCGGAAACCGGAGGTACAAGGTCACCCATTTATTTTATATGGATGATCTTAAACTTTCAACCTCTGGAGAGAAGGATCTCCATCAGTCCTTGAGGGTGGTGGAAGAGTACACGAAGAGTACACGCATGCTATCGGTATGAAATTCTGGATAGACAAATGTGCAATGGTCCATCTCAAAAGCGGACGATGCGGGGACTACGGAGAGGATGTGCAGCTCGTAGATAGAAGCATCTTACACCATCTGGATGCCGGAGAGACGTATACTCACCTCGGGGTAGAACAACGCCACTCACAAGAGGTAAAAGCAGTGAAAAACTCTCTCCGCGGCAAGTATCAGCACAAATTTCGACAGATCTGGTCATCGGAACTGTCGGGGAAGAACAAAGTTGCTGCAACAAATATGTTTGCCGTTCCAATCTTACTCTACTCGTTTGGATTAGTGAAGTGGACTCGGTAGGAGCTGTATCAACTCGACGTAAAGACCCGAAAAATGATGCATCTCTATAAGAGTTTGCATCCCAAATTGTTCGTTCCACGGTTGTACTTCCCCCGACAACAGGGAGGCCGTGGATTTTTGAGTTTGGAGTGTCTACATGACAGAATGGTACTGGATACAGCCAGTAAAGTCGCCAGGAGTTCGGATCCCCTTCTCTGCATGGTCCGTGACCATGAGAGAGCATGAATTAGAGCATTTCTCCTTGGGGCAGCTGCCCGAGCAGCTGATGAACTCGGTATAGTTTTCGACTCTGAACGAGGTGACTACAACTCTGTCACCGAGTTGGAACCCGTTCAGCAAAAAGCTCAAATAAAATCCGCAGAGATCACCTCACTTCTGCGGAGACACAAGGATAAGCCAATGCATGGGGTCTTCTTCAATAGCATTGGAGACCTTGGCTCATCAAAGCGCCTGACGTTCGCTTTTCTCAGGTGGAGTGGGCTGAAGTCGGAAACTGAGGGGTTCATCATGGCTTGCCAGGATGGTGTCTTCAACACCTCAGTCTACCGCAGTCGCGTGATGTGTATAGAGGTTCGTAACACAAGGTGCAGGGCCTGCCGCGAGGGGCCCGATACCCTAATGCACTTGCTATCAGCATGTCCAGCATATGCGGTCTCGGCCTATATCCATTGACATAACGCTGCCCTAAAAGTGATATATTACCATCTACGGCACTCTTACGGTATTGACGAGACACCGGTGTTGCCCTACGCTCCGGGCGATATTGAATCCATTGTGGGGAACGAGAAGTGCCGAATTTATTGGAACTATTCGTTCCTCACCCTCAGGCTCATACAAGCTAATAAGCCTGATGTAGTCCTTTTCGACCACCAGACCGAAACAATATTTGTCGTGGAGTTTTCAGCTCCTGGCGAGACGAATATCGTCAGAAAAGAGGAGGAAAAACGGATAAAATGACGAGATTTTCTCTTCGAACTCCGCAGACTCTATCCAGATTATTCTGTCAAGATGGTTGTTCTGATTATTAGAGTCCTTGGTGGAATGATGTCCTCTCTACTCTCGAATCTTAAAATCATATCTGCTTGCTGCACTGAGGCAGGAATTTTAGCCGCACAGATGCAGAAGGCTGTCATTCTTGGCTCACTGCACTTGCTCAGGGCACATGATTCTCGAACCCAATGATCACTTACCCCACGGTGTGGGGAGTGGTCATTGGTTGATAATGCTGGCGCGCCCTCCCGAATGTATCGGGGCTTCGGGGGATAGGGCCTGATCAGCGCACATTACGGACTAATAATAGCTTTATTGTTCAACAGTTACCGATTTATGAGACAATACAAAATTATATTCACAATGCTGAAATTTAAAGAAAGATGAATGAATAAAGAAAAAAAACAGCGTGCTTTAGACCACAAGACTGAAGCAAAACTTCTTTAGCTCCATCGATTTTCTACAAAAAGTGTGGTTGATTGTGAGACCAAAACTGTAGGCTTATGGTATCACAAATAAGACACTGCTGTAAATCATGTCCTAAAGAAAATAACGCTGGCCGCCACTGGTAGTCATAAACCAATTGTGACGTAACTAAGAGCGCGCGAATGTTCAATGTTTACTGACATTCTAGAGGTGGCAAGAATGATGCTACCGGCTTCGATGGAATTTGAAGAATTTTTCAGCGCCTTCGATCGCCAAATATAAGTGCCATGCACTCGCCCATCGAGAGAGTCAAGTTTTGCGTACGAATCGATCTTATAAATCTGTTTAAAATCTGTTTTTCCGTTAATCAGCTGTCGCCCCCATACGAACTACAACTCTCAGAAGTTGAGAAACTTGTGCGAGCTAAGTACTAACGAGGTCCTACCTTTCAACGTGTGATTCATAACAAGACGATAGACATTTGAATAATGATGGTTTAGTTAAAGTGTTTTGTTATATCGATAGTGAAATAAATTTGTCAATTATTGATAAATACACGGCAAAAAACGTAACATTTGGTGTCAGAAGAGTGATAATCGACTGAAAATTTTCTGTTATAAGGTGTGGTCAATTACTGATGAACCCACGCGAATATTTGGCCTCATCAGCGCGGTGCAGCCAAGTGTGAAGATGGGAAACACTTGTTTGCCAAAATCAGGAAACAACACGAACGCACGGAGTCAACAACAGGAGCCAACCGCACATTTGTGGTTCCAGTTAGAAGACCTAGAATTCCCAGGCTACATCTAACATGACCGTGCGTTTGTGTTGTTTCCTGATTTCGGCAAACAAGTGCTTCCCATCTTTACACTTGGCTGCACCGCGCGGATGAGGCCAATAGCCAGAAACACGTGTCCGCGGTTTGCCCCCCTTTTTTGAGTGTTATGTCCACTTTCCGAAGTAGTGGCAACGTTTGACAGAGAAATTCTTCAGGGCCTACTCGATCGTAAATGTATGCTCGCACCTCTCTCTCTTGCCTCTTTATATCTTCACTTGTCCAAAACTGTTCATTTATTTCAGATGTCCAGATCAGACAGTAAAAAAGTGGTTCTGCATTCCGTTAATTGGAAAACAAGCGGAACCTTTCGTTGCGAAGTATCTGCCGAGGCTCCTACTTTTACCTCAGCACAAGGTGAAGCTAAAATGGAGGTGATTGGTGAGTGAATAACGTGTATAAATTAGAGATTTCATTAAATCAATTATTGGATTCGTATTATTATTTCGAATTCTCAATGCGTAGAATTCCTGTTATGTCGAATTTTTGTTAGAGCAAAATCCTTTCCAGTTATATATTGCCATCTTCAGGAGTAATATTCTACAAGAGGATATCAACTTGTTTATGCGCTGATATTCGTTATACCAATATATACAAATAAATGCCCATACAATTTCATTGAACATAGTCGTACCTGTAATAACATATAGACCCATTGATATACCAGGAAAAAAATACGACCTCAACTGTCAAAATGATTCCTCACGTAAAACAAAACTGACGCAATTGCAACCTCTCTTCATCACGAGTGTCGAATCGGTTTGTCAGACCGCTTGATTTTGAATATAGGCTAAAGAAAACTTTCGTCCAATTTCTACTGAGATTTTTATTTGTAACCACGGAGGCACATCTTTACCGGCAGTAGGAGATTGCATGTATTAATGAGGATCTAGACGTGATTTCGAAATGGGGTGGAAGTAATCAGGTTCAATTCAATACTACAAAAACCCAGGCATCCGTTTTCTCCAAGAAGATAAATGTCTCCGAAGCGGATATAATGTAAGGTCAGACAACTCCGCTTTCTGCTTCGATGTTTGTTGGGGGTTGAAATGGACACTAATTCGTCTTGGTACAATCATGTTGCTGGAATTGCAAAGGCTGCTTCTCAAAAGCTTGAAAAACTGTTCCGAGCCAGAAAACTATACACATATCAGCAACTTTTGATGCTTTATAAAGCTCAGATCAGACCTTCTTTGGAGCTCTGCCTTCAAACATTCCCCGAAGTTGCTGGATTTCCTCCAGAAAAGAGCCATCCGCCTGATTAGAAACACGGACATCAGGTGCAACCTTGATAGCCTGGAACATCGAAGAAAGGTTGGAGGTTTGTCTCTCTTTTATAGATACTTTCACGGAAAGTATTCAAGTGACTTGGCACATTTGATTCCACCAAGAGCGGTACATATTAGAAATACGCAACGGACTGTGGCTGCTCATCGTTTTGAGGTCCAACTCAGTACACCTCAAACCTCACTGTTCAAGAACTCTTTCATCTGGAGAACTTCCTGAGAACGTTTTTCCAAATGGATTTAATCTCCAGCGATTCAAATCCAATGTGAATCCCTACTTTCGCACAGGCACCGCTCTGAGAGAGCCTAATGTATTTTTCTCTAGTGAATGTGTTTTGTCCTTGAAAAATAAACCATTCTCAAGTAAACGAGTTTACTTGAGACTCCAAATAACAAAAGATCTACAGGGTGTTAATCAAGTATTTACCATAAATTCAAAAGACGATTTTAGATAATTTTAAGACGGAATGTTTATATAAACATGAGTCCGCAAATCCTTCGTTCTCAAGATACAGGGTGTTGAAATAAAAAAAAAGTTATTCGTGAATATCTTAAATATCCTTGACAATGGTATTTATAACATTAAGGAGCTAATTTAGCCCGAACGTGATTCAATTTATCAAGTCCAGTGGCGTTTCGACTTTTGACTTAAAAATTAGAAATAAAACTTTTTTCTCTCTTGAATTTTTTTCGTATCTTGCTTAGTTTTCAAGAAAAAAAAGTCAACCTAATTGCATATCCCTGGACCTCACAAGGAATAATATGGAGAATTAAATGTTTCTTTTGGAAATTATTATTTCTACAATTTTTCATTACTAATTATGTAACAATAACAACAAATATTAAATAACATTAACATCTAGACTAACGAATTGCACTAAATTAAGTGTTGGAAATGGCCTCCTTCGACTTCAATACAACCGTCTAGCCGTCGCATCATTGAATTTCGAACTCTTCTGAAAATACCATAAAAAATAATCAAGTGTTGCCTTGGAAAACGATTGCAGCATTCAATAAACAACTTGACAGTTGTTTTCAACTTTATAAGCTTTTAATTTATAATTGTTATAAAAAGTGTGTTCAGTCGTTATTTTTCGAACCGTTTTTGTAAAACATAGTTCAATTTACTAACAGTGAAATGTCAGATATGCATTTCTGTTATGGAAACACGGAAACTTGAATGCTGCAAGACGCATTCACCATGAAAGAAACTTTTGTACGTCTGCATTCACGACTTTCTGAAACAGGCAGCTTTTGAAGATCGACGGTTGTCATTGGGAGGCCTGCAACGGTACGAACAGTTCAAATTGAAGAAGCTGTTTTAAATGAGATTGAAGTAAATCCTCATACCAGTACTCGGAAAATAGCTGAAGAACTGAATATCACCCATGTCACAAGTGTGGCAGATTTTAAGAGCCTAGCAGCTATATCACATGCAACGTGTGCAAGCTCTATTGCCCAGAGATTTGCCTGTAAGACTAGCTTTTTCTAATTGGTTACGCGGTAAAATAAGAAGAAATCCAGGTTTCCTAAGTCGAATATTGTTTACAGATGAATCTTGTTTTTCTCACAATTCAATTATTAACTTCCACAACAATCACATTTGGGCCGAAAACAATCCACATGCCTTGATAGAAAATACTTTTCAAAAACAGTTTTCTTTTAATATTTGGGTTGGAATTGTCGGTGACCATCTCATTGGGCCTCACTTCCTTCTACATACTCAATGGAGAAGAATACCGAAGGTTTTTAGAATTAGTTTTACCTAGACTTTCAGAAGAAATTCCAGTCATGGAAAGATTCGGTATGTGGTACATGCACGATGGTGCTCCACCACACTTTAGTGTAGTGGCACGATGAAAATTACCATAATCGCTGGATTGGGAGAGCAGGCCCACACCTATGGCCACCTTGCTCGCCTGAAATGAATCCCCTGGATTATTTTCTCTGGGGACACCATAAAGCGTTGGTATGCAAAATTACTATTCAAAGTGGAGGAGATTTACGGAATAAAATCATTAATTAATAATATGCGTTGGTATGCAAAACTGCTATTCAAAGTAGAGAGGATTTACGGAATAAAATCATTAATTCATGTAACATAAAAAAAATACGCCAGGTATTTTCAGAAGAGTGCCCAATTCAATGATGTGGCGGCTAGACGGTTGTATTGAAGCCGAAGGAGGCCATTTCCAACACTTAATTTAATGCAATTCGTTAGTCTAGATGTTAATGTTATTTAATATTTGTTGTTATTGTTACATAATTAGTAATGAAGAATTGCAAAAATAATAATTTCCAAAAGAAACATTCATTTCCCCATATTATTCCTTGTGAGGTCCAGGGATATGCAATTAGGTCGACTTTTTTTTCTTGAAAACCAAGCAAGATACGAAAAAAATGCAAGAGACAAAAAAGTTGTATTTCTAATTGTTCAATCCAAATAAGAAATGAAAATTGCACAAAATTCAGTGGCGTAAATTTTTAACTCAAAAATATTTGTTCAAATCCCGCTCGAGACACCACTGGATAAAGTGAAACACGTTCGGGCTGAATCAGCTCCTTAATGTTATAAAAACCATTGCCAACTTACAACAAAATTAGGTAAAGGATATTAAGATATTTACCAATAACTTTTTTTTAAATTTTTATTTTAACACCCTGTATCTTGAGAACATACTTAATTAATACCCTGTATAAGAAATTCTAAAATTGTGATTAATGATGTTGATTTAGAAATTTTACGCAGATGCATAATTCATTTCCATATCAAAGAGAACCAAGTTCCTACGCTTGAGAAGATCAATTAAAACTATCATCCGAAATATTGGATATCAGGGTAGAAGAGAGTCTTTTGGAGAAGAAATTCATAAACATGAATTTCGATCGGGAAACGTGAATAATAATAATAGGAAAATATTGATGTAACGCCAGCCGATTGGACTGCTTAGGATAGAATTCTTGAAGAAAATGCGGACCTAAAAAGAAGAATCTCGACATATTATTCATATCGGTGAAACGTATATCAAGGATACATACGTACCAAAAAACTAGGAGTGATCATATTATGGAAGATGTGAAAAAACATATCAGTAAAGGGCAACTTCTAATTATGATACATGCATGTGGTAAAAATCTGTTTGTGGTAAATGGAAATCAAATTGTGATACAGATGATTTTCACAACAAGATGAATTTTGATAATCATGAGAAATAGATGTCGAAAAAGTTGATTCAGAATTTGCCGTTGAAAAGTGATCGATAATGCTCCATATCATTATAAAAAAATCGAAAAAACGACATTGACCAAAAAAGCGATATGTAGAGCGTTATGAGAGGAGTGTTATAAGAGAAGACTATTTTATACGAAAAAAACAAACAAAAACCTTCATTACATGCCCTTATGAACAACTATAATCCAAAATTCAAGCGGTATTTAATGGTTTAGCTCTTTCTAGCAGCAAATCACAACGTTGTATGATTACCGCCATATCAACCGGATTTGAATCCAAGTTGGGCTAAATACCCCGTTTGGCCAATATAAAAAGCAAGAGCAACAAGTCAACTTAAAGTCTCCTGATCTATATGACAGTGAAGTTTCGTCTTAATTTTTTTTTGATGTATATGCTTAAATTATTATTTGTTATGTAAACCAAACATTCCTTTTTTTATAAAACGGGTGATATGAGTGAGTTGGGTCCACCAAGATATGACAATGTCCTACAGCTTACGCTATCGTTTCTTGAAGTTGGCTAGACCTGTTTTTTTGGAAGAATGAAGTCGATATTATCTATCTTGTAACTGCGCAGCATTATCTACAAATCAATGCTAGTTAAAGTTCAGTTTTGGACTTTGGGGCTGAGAGAGAACTGAATGGCTTTCAATTAACTGTAGACAAGGATGTGGTTGCACTGACTGAACATGCAAAAAACTTAGGCATTATTCTTGATTCAAACATCACGTAAATGAATGCATCAGTATTTTGCCTATATAAATATCGATCAGATTTATACCAACAGACAATGTCTCAACAAAAAAGTAAAAACCATACTCTGTGAATCGCTTGTATTATCCAGATTCAATTTTGGAAGCGCAGTATATGGGCCATGCATTGATTATGAAGATAAACGAAGAATTCAGGTTGTTCAAAACAATTGCTTACGTCTAATATACGGCATCAAACGTAGCTACCACATAAACTCAAAGATATCAACTGGTTCGATATGGCAAAACGGCAATCATTACATACTGCTTGTCTATATCATGCCCGATTCCTCTGAATAAGGAAGAAAAACTTTCTTATTAGTCAGTGGGCTATGCTTGAAGGCACATTTCGGATATGCAGTTGGTTAGTACCTGATTATTATGGACTTCATTCCAATAGATTTTCAGTGAAAATTTCAGCAAGCAAAGGATTCAACGGGTTTTCCATTATTAGTTCTTCGCTGCATAAATGAAACTTTTCTTCGAATTGGAAATGATTTTGAAATAGACAAATGATAAGTGAATCTGAAATGTCCTGTTTCATTAGAGGATTTACGTGGTATTCGTCTAAGAGACGCTCAACCACAGCTCAATTGTTTCAATTGGCGAAATACTGGGAAATACATTTTGGACATCAAACAATATTAATTTAGGCTTACCAGGAACAGTAATGTTTTCAATATTTTTCAATAATTCAGGAAACACATGAATAGCATTCTACAAGTATTGTTCATGACGAAAAATTTCAATAATGAGGTTTTAATGATGAACGAGAATGTTTCCTACTCATTCACCAAACTCAAACACCTGTATATGCAGCTGTAGTTTCGTAAGAATGTATCCTCATTCCCTCCAACTGATTTCCTGGAGTCTATGAAGTTTACTAGATACCTACTCGTTAGGACAACAAGAGGATTGTTCTGAATTCTTGGGGTTCTTGTTGAATACTCTTCATGGACTAAACAATAGCAGAATCAATACTCCTGACCGCTCCGTATTGAATGATTCCGTACAGTCTATCTCGTCTTGTGTTTGTAAATCCTCACTTGTTTACTTTGTTCAAGAGGTAGCAAAAACGTATGTGAATTTCTGGAACTTCATCTAGCGTTTCCTAATATGACTAATAACCGTGCAAAGCTTAATGTTAAATCATCTGAAAAAGGAATTTTCAACAGGTGATGATCGACTGTATTGCCAAACATGCGCCAGGAAACAAGTATAGCTGAGGCACCAGTCAATCTAATAATAACACTGATGATCTTCAAATCTTCAAAGACCCAACCTCTGATGGAAGCACCAAACTCTTTCGAAGGTTCCAAATATATGAACACTTCGATCTAGCAGACCACTATTATAATATTCATGCAGTCATTGTTCACTGTGGTTCTGGCGTTGAATTTAGTCACTATTACGCCTTGGTCAAAGACGAAACGGATTGGTTTAAGTTTGAGGATAGTCGTGTCACGAAGTGTTCTGGCGATGTATTGAATTTATTGGAGCCTCTGGAGAAATCTTACACTTTGTTTTATGAGAGAAAGGACATTGGCAGATCAAGATCTTCAGATGATGTGGTGCTGCAGGTTTTTCCGGGTTTTCGTGCAGCTGAAAAAACAAATGCGCCACTGGAATCAATGAAGTCGCCCCGGAGCGCCAAATAATTTTTATAGTTCTTTTATAATCTCACATTCATTTAAAAGTTCGTTATCATGAAAAAAATTGATATGCATTATTTATATTGAATCTCTTCTTGAAATTAGTATAGGTTTGATTTATTTTATGAGCATTTCTGAGATAGTCTATTAGAGATCCCAACTTCTATTTCAATTTTTTACTCTTTTAATTTCAATTTGTTATTTCAGAGATTTCAAATCATATCATATTAGACTTGTTCGAACCGATGAAATTTACCACGAAACATTGTCAACCAACTTCAAAGAAACACAGGAATATTCGTTTCTATTTTTTGTTTTGAGGAATAAGATTCGATTTTCCACAAGTTTTCATGGTATCATCTCTATCAGACAATTTTTAATAACATATTTTTTTCCAAGCAGGAGTACTATACTTTCTAGTATACAACAATTATTAAATTCGCAATGGATTATACTCAGAAAATTCATGAGCTAAATACATCCGGTAAAAACTTCGTCCTGAACTAATTGCACTGAAAGTTCAGTTTGAATTTAGAAGTTGGCAGCACACAAAAAATTATCCTGCCAGAAACAATGAAAAAGTTGTGTATTGAATTAGGAGTTTAGCGGAGCCATGTGGAATAAAAAATTATACGAAGGACTACTGATATAATTGAATTATATCGCAGTTCGAAATCATATACGGCCGTTATAATTAGTTTTCCAATTACCATTTTCAATCATGGGAACTTGTATTGTGATAGTAACGCTGATTCATAAATGAATTTTTTGGGGGTGAAACTAATTTCTGAATCAGAGCACGTTCCGATGATATTCTTTTGTTATTCAAGTGATGAATCGATCATAAGAAAAAAATCTGGCCTGGTGGACCGTGGTCGAATGGAACTGGGAGTATCAAACATTTCGTCTGTTGCTGCGATAGATATCATCAGTGGTATGTGTGTTTACTGCGGGGACAAATTTTATATTTGAAAGTCTCAACAAAGACTGACTGTGAGCTCCGTGTTCACTGATATTTATTATTTAAACAGGAGGTGTAGGTGGGGTGTCCTAGCGAATGCTCAATCCTGATTGGTCCTAACTTTTGCTGAATTGTTCTGATTGGTACACGTTGTTGATAGGTACGCTGCTGGTGGGATGTCGATCAGAGTTATATTCTAGTCCATTTCTAGCCATCTTGAGTACTGGATACCAGTACTCAAGAAGTTAAGTCGTATACCTTCTTGATTTTTGTTGAGATTGTTATAATGCTTATAGTTCCAATCACGTTTCTATGAAATCGTGCGGAGTATTGTATTAAATTATGAGGGATGGTACTTTCTACACATTTCATTATGTGATATGTTTCTGTTTCTTGGATTTGCTTTTCTCTATTCATGACTACGTCCGTTAAAGCCTATGTTATTATAATATTACAATTTCTACACTATTACCTTACCAAATATGCGTTCCACTACAAAATAGCTTGTATTCTTTATTTTGATCAAGTTACAGGTCTTGAAACCCTTTCCAACAATCTTGCTTCCTACACAGTACAGTCCTTTTATTAGATGTTTGTAACTTTTATTGTATATAAATTGCTTCCTTCCCATGATCTACTGTTTGATAACATGCCCAGCTTTGCTTTCCGTTGATTTCCCCAGCTATTTTCTTCAGATATCCTTCTAGTGGGGAATGCCATATGAGTAGCCATGTGATTATTTTGAACCCATCACTGTTCTTCAGTTTTTTTTACCATCCCCTTTGTAAAAGTGTCACGAGGCTGTTCCTAGTGCGCTCATGTGATTTGACCTTGTGCCTACTTCTCTTTATTTGCCCCGAAGATAGTAATAACGATAATATGATTATTTATGATGATTATATAATTTTGAAAACAACGAACCACTGAGTACTGGTTTACGGAGAGATGAACTTTTGGGTGGTTTAGGTCAGTTGGAGGACCTCTACAACCCCAGACTCCACAAGAAAAAAATAAGTCAACTTTCACACCGTGCCTACCGCTGAAAGTTGGCCTTTTGTAATATAATCACTTATAACTTTTCCTCTCTTTCGATTCAGAGCGGAACTGGTCTCAACTTCAACTGAATTTTAGTTTTTGAAAAATTATTCTGCACTTGCTAATTTTTTCTTAGATCATACCCTAAAACTTCTCCACCTCCTGTTTCCTACTTCTCCTGAATACAAAAAAAAAAAGAAAAAAATAAGGAAAAATCATATGTAAGAGGCAAACATAGCCAACATTGAAATTAATAGTTATTTCCCGATGGAAGTAATGAGACTACGATCTTTTATAATCATACTCTGGTCAATTTATACATTCGAAGCTAACTAAATGCCCACCAAGCTGAAAATCAGTAAGATTGTTTGAAATATGATTAAAAATAAAATTTGAAAGTTTCTCATCTCTCCCCTGTTTGGAAAAAAAATTGTTCAAGGTCAAAGATCAAAAAAATTAGCTTTTCGCGATTTTGAGATATAACGATTCAAAAAGTTGTAAAAGTTGTAGTTGTCATAATATGCACAAATTTCCACGCCACCTATGAGGTAGTGTACTTAACGCATTTTTATACCGTGGTTTCCCCAGTAGGCCAATCCACGGGTCAGTTGTGATCCTATTTAATTTGAAACTATTGCCAAATAATGGATATTAGCAGAGATTCAAAAGATAAAGAGCAATTTAAGTACTGAAAAGTAGTGAAATTTAATCGTCCAAGTCGTAACTTTCAAATTCCCCTTCTTCTTGATCTTCTTGTTTTTCTTCGCCTTGTTCTTCTTCTTCTTATTTATGTTCTTCTTGTTCTTCTTAATCTTCATCCTGAGTACATGTACACTCCGTTAACGGCATTCAACGGTAAAATACTGGCAGCGAGTCATCGAGTGATACTTTTCTCTTGGAGTTTTGCAGAATTTCACTCTACTCAATATTTTTCCTCATGATGCGCCCCCAATTCCGGGAGTTACAAAATGAAATTCGAATGAACAAAATGTTTGGTTAATCTACTTGTTTTGGTAAAATTGTATTTCTTTTTTCACTTTCTGCATGTATGAGAGAACAAATTCGATAATAATATTAGTATCAGTATGACACAAATCAATCAAGTCCTTTTAGTATGAACTATAAATACAGTATAAGACTCACGGTCATGAGAAAGTAGAAAAATATTAATTCAATTTGGGATATTATAAAATATGTTTTCTTCTAGCTCTTCCAGAAGAAGACCCCATTATTACTGGCGTTGAAGAGGATTATCAAATTGGAGAAGACATCAATTTGAATTGCACTTCTGGAAGGAGTCACCCTGCGCCACTTTTACAGTGGTACGTGAACGAACAGAAGGTTAGTCAGTAAAATTATTTGTCAATCAGTTGAAAATTCCCTCTGATCTTTATCGGTCATGAAATTGATGACTCGAAGTTGAAATTTTGCTTTGTCACCAATATTCTGGTGGTCAGTACATTACTAGAGACTATGGAAAACTAGAAGAACATTAGAAAACAAAAAACGATTATTTATATTCCGCATTTCAAATTTCAAAGGAGGCGACATTTCATACTCGATATATAGTTGTTTTTGCGAATCGAATATTACAATCTTTCGAATGGAAGTGCATGATGTAAATTCTACTTATGAAAATGGGGTGGAATAAAAATTTACAGAAATCATGAGATTTGAATAAAGAAATAGTAAGGGAACATGCAGCAAATATCCACATGATCATCCTTCAGACACAGTATACCTATTACAAAACAACCACTATAAATATCAACAATTCCTAGTTACCTCCAATATTCCACGTTGGTGTCGAGGCTAAGGACAAAGTCTACCACGCCGATGATCTGAGTTCAAATCTCGTAGCGATAAACTTTTTTTAATTTGGACTACAGAATTGGTACGTGACATGGGGGCCCGAGAGGTGAGGCGGAGTCCCAAGTGGGCCCGAGAAGTGAAGCGGAGTCCCAAGGGGGCCCACTCTCTTTGAATCTCTCCGATACTCATTCCATCCTTCTCTGTATCGATTACGTCACAAGTTCCTCTCTTCCACTCACTTAAGACTCACTGAAACACTTGCCAGCGACGCGCGACCTTGAAGTGGGCCTGAAGTCGCTTTGTTCCTCTACTAGACCAATACAAGGTAAAACATTCAACATTCCGACGTTTCATAGACAGTTATTGGGTTCATGTACCATCAGAAATTTTGGGACTGGCCAGAAGAGAAAAAACATCGTACTATTTCCAGTATTGCGAGAATGATTACTGGAAATGCTGCATAACATTCTGAAAAGCAACAGAAACAAACATCAAAATATTGTTGGAACTTTGGAAAATTATTACACTAGGAAGAAGTATTTCAGGGTCATTTCAGAAGGCAATGTCAACAATCCCAGGATATATTATAGGACTATGGAGCAAATTTCGAAAAACTATTGAATCACACCTAAAAAAGGGAAAATAGCAGGGAAAATAGGGGAAATGAAGGAAAATAATGATCTGAAGGCTTACTGGGCTCCGTGGCATTACCTTCAATTGACTTCCAATTATATCGCACGTGGGAGAGCTCAAAAGAGGTAACAATGTACACCAATTGACTTTACCAAGAGAACCAGTCAAAACTGGGCTGGAACATCTCCATGAGTTGAATGAGAGGATATTTCGGTATTAAACTCTACCTGAGTTTACGAGAGATACTATTGGGTCAACTTTCCCCCTGACGTTGAAGATTTTTATAAAGGAAATCAATTCATCTCTATATTTCGAAGAAAGGTTCTACGAGGAAGCCTTGTGGTATATTTCATAATGCAATATCTAATATCAGTATGGGGAATGACAACAAATTCCTTATCGAAACCAATTCAAAAACATCAGAACAAAATTATAAGGTATAGGTATCTTCAAGCTGAACTACAAAGAACCTACAGTGAACAAAAAAAAAATATTAGATTTGTCATCCATACAAACATTCGAATTATGTACCTTCATTATTTGGTCGAAAATAAGCTCAAACATCCAAATCTGAATTTCAAAATCAATGTTGACCAACACAACCATTCATTTTTACAATGAGCTATCGTAAACTTTAAAAAAAATATTAATTCAAATTTCAGTTCCAAATTATATTCTTTTGGTGCTCTGTTCTCACTCAGATATGTTAGAGTTTCTGAATTGTTGTTCTTCCCCTGATATATAGTGTCCTTGCTATATAAAGGATATATAAATTGGTCCCCACTTTCGAGCAGTTGTATGAAGTTAATAATTTTCAAGTGTACCATTAATAATCAATGCACCTAGAGCTGTTACAAAATTATTTCAAACCTAATTTACGACAAATGTTAGTTTTAACGTCCGCCATTTTTCATAGAGAAACGATCAGCGGTGCAATATTTTCTTGTTACAGATACAGAAACCAGAAGCTTTGATTCACTATCGGCCGCATTACCACCCGAAAGGGTTAATTTCTTCAACGTTGGGCTTAAGATTCAAGCTGAGCAACCAACATTTTCGAGGAGGATCCATGAAGGTGAAATGTATAGCATCAATAGCGCCTATACTGTATCAGAGCGACAGAGAAAAAGTTCTGCAGAAGCAAGACCTTGTCGCCAATGAAATGAGAGAAGCACTTCTGTTGGGTGAGCATTTTAGAAATAGGCGCATTGTCGTTGGAAGCAATTATACTGGATTATCTTTCGCTGTTTCATATGAGAAAATGAATATTTCGAAATGAAATCTCGAAATATTCAACTATTTTCTCGGCTAATACCGCATTCAATATTGAAATACAGGGTGTTTTCTACCTACGGAACGAAACTCCAGAAGGTGATTCGTTAAGTCGTTGTGAGAAAAAAATATTCTCTGAACATATGTCCGAAGTTGCTTTGTTTCTGGGATACAGGGCGTTGAAGTTAAAANATATATATATATATATGTTTTGATTTCTGTTCAATGTCATGCTTCTATTACCAAATAGTTTTTTCTAAATCATACTGACAACATGTTTTTCTTACAGTAAGGAGTTCAGGAGGAGCAGATCTGTGTTCTTGTGTTCTTATGATAACAGCGAGTGTGATTTTTCTACTAATGTAGTAAGTGATTTCAAACTGTGATTGTGAAATGAATCGCGAAATTATCAGTTATGGACTGTAATAATGAACTATTTGATAATATTCATCGTAAAATTTGAAAGTTATTTCCGCTTGAACCCTGCAAATAAGTAATTACTCCATCATTCATCTGAACACGAATTGAAAAAAAAATTGATCACATTGAGAAACATCGCATTCAGAAGGAATCTGTGTTTATGTGCTTTCTATTGTCTTGCTTTTGATTTGAAATAAATGGATTCAAACTATCAGAATAAGCTCGCCTTTTTTTCATTAAAAACAATCAATTATACCTACTATTTAAATCAATCAATCAAAGAATATGAACCTTCAAGGCCGGAGATAACTGTGTGAAATCTATTTTTCAGTTTTTTGACTGTGGTCTGCAGATTTTTATACATGAAGTTTCGTCTACTACTGCGGTAGACATTATAAAAGGCGATTTGGTAACGGTCACAGTGCCCACGCCTTTGATAATTCTACCGCCGTAATAGACGTAACAACCTTCAGACCGCTGCCAAAAAACCCGAAAAACAGAATTCACACAAGCTAATCAATATGGAGCCCAGAAAACATTTATATAGTGAAAGTCTAGCAGTCTTCACAGAAAACATATCTTTCAAGGTACCCCCTTAATAGGTAGTGCAAGGACGTTTTTGGATTCTACTATAACTTTTTTTTTTATTTTTCAATTTCAATTCATTCAATTCAGTAATAAGATAAAATACATAGTCGTCTATGACAAAAGGATAAAAAATAAAATAAAATGAAAATGAAATAAAATGAATAAATAAAGATACATGAAATGTAGAGATTATACAATTCTATATAATGAAAGTTACGGCTACTTAAGCAACCTTGTATTGTAGCCAGCAAACTAAATAGTATATCTTTTCCCGTATAACTGAACTACAGACTGTGGAAAAGAAGAGATAATAAGAAGAAGATAGAGGACGAGAAAGAGAGAGAGAAAGATCTGTCTGTGATGCGCTCTGAAAGACACCTCTAATAATAGATATTTCTTATTCAAGTGAAGAAGCATATCATAATTATTGTCAACAAATTTTTTCAACTCTATTTTGAATTTGAGTTTGTTTCTCATGCCTTTCAATGTTTCAGGTAGAGTGTTGTAAAGTTTGGGATCCGGATAGGTTATAAATTTTTGATTATGCGTGAGTCTGCATCGTGGAACAATTATGGTCTTAACTGAACTGTTACGATGTTGAAAGCATGCTGTACAAATTTGATTGAAGAATTAGCAGTCCATAATAAACTCTGAAAAATGTAAGTTTTCCTAACACCGAATATCCCACTTTCATCATACAACGACTGGATACTTTTGAGTTAATTAGCGATGTCTTGAAGGTGCCATCCCATACTATTATACAGTAACGTATTATGGAGTTAGCCAAGGCATCATAAACCGTCAGTATCATTTTCCTGTTTAAAATATTCCTGAACTGATAACATTTATATAATAATTTACGTAGTCTGGCTACTGTATAATCAATGTGTGCATTCCACCGAAGAGATTGGTCCACTTATACCCCTAGGTATTTTATTGTTTCTGTTTTCTGTATAGAAGTACAGCTACAACTGGGAACATGTGCACAAGATGTTTTGTGGATTTTACTGTTGTTTGTAGCTGGTTGATCTCTATAGTCTATTTCAAAAGAGTGTAGAGTAATAAATCATGAAGTGTCATAAAATTTGCCTGAATTTCGTTGTCGTCCATGGGTGTAGGCAAATCTTAGGATTATTAAACTTAATAATTAAAGTAAATTAAAAATTACAGACATAGATAATAATAAAAGGCCATTTTTGGGAAGTAATTTGGTCTAAAACTAAGTACCTACATGTATTTAGGTAAGTAAAATTTCTTAAAAAAAGATTAAGATTAATTTTAGTGGTTCTTGTAAACTTATTTAATATGCAATTTGGGTTCATATACTTGAGCATGATTTCTCAAAAAAGGGTTAACACTTAGTTCCGAGGTGCCATGTCATTATAATAATCCCTTTTTGACCCTGCCCACCAATCATGCAATACCTATTAAACNNNCAGTGTATCAGTGACAGTGACACTTTTGCTTAGGTTAGGGTTTAGAATTAAGGGTAGTCTGAATAATTATTTTCTCGGAAGGTTCTCGAAAATTGTACCTAGTAATCTCTAGAACATTCAATTAGGGTATAAATAGAGTGTTGTTAAACGTTAAGGGAAGTTCACAGTTTTAGTATTGTTCAAGTGTCAAATTGTAATAACGTATCCAGTAAAGTTCTTGTCGTTTTTGTGAATAAATTGATTTAAAGTCCCCACAAGTGTTTCAATACGTAAAGTTCGTTCGTGTGTGTTTGTGAGTATTTCCCGATTTCGGTTCGTATATATTTTATTGTTACATTTTATATTTTTTTAATAACACTGTTCTGCTGTATTAAATTTTTATTTCCTTTAATATAATTTTTATGAATGCATATTCTTTTGGCAATTATCCCACTAGCGCGCCTCTGGCTCAGTATTTATCCGTCGATAACAATGGACAAATCCCTTAAAACAGGGTGATACCTACCTGCTCTTTATGAAACGACATAATTTTGCAATGCGTACTAGGGAAGTGATAGTATTTATTGACGGATCACCCTGTAGCGCTTTTGAATACTCAATGAGATTTTATTACTCTACACTCTTTTGAAATAGACTATAGTTGTTGGAGCAAATGCAATAAATTTGGTTTTTTCAACATTGACACTCAATAAATCAGAACTCAACCAGTTGAAAATCGTTTTGATACCTATTTCAGACTGAGTGTATACTTCTTCCAACATTTTTCCAACAAAAGTGAGAGCTGTGTCATTAGCAAATGAAGTTATTTCACCATTGAAATCAGAAATTTTGGAGATGTTCATATGTATTAGAAATAAGATGGGTCCTAATACAGTTCCTTGGGGTACGCCCCGAGTAATTTTTAGTGGGTCGTTGAGAGACTCGTTTACCTTGACAATTTGTGTTCTATTTGTCAAATAGTTTTCAAATATTTTCAAAGCAACACCCCCCACACCAATGTTAGCTATACGTTGAAGGAGTTATTATGATCCACAGTATCAAATGCCTTGGCCAAATCTAAAAAGACAGTTATGCATTTGTGTTGATTGATTTTACTGTGTATTTTTTCTGTGATAGAATAAAAAACTATCCAATATGTCACAATATGGTTTCATTTGAGTGAGAAAAACATATTGATTATCGAGATTATCTTCTTCTGAAAGCTGGAAAAAATAATTAAAATGATCGAGGTACACGTCTCAGAAGAATATCTTCTGAAGGAGCTTAGTTTTATTGCCATTTTGGGAAAAATATGGTTATCGAAATGAATGTATAGAGAACAAGATGAAAATAAATGATAACAGAGCTATTTACTGGACATTGTCCAGTAAATAGCTCTGGATGTCTCTAGATGTCCTTCACATCTAATATTTTGACAAAATGTCAAAAGTATTATAATTTTTGAACAAAAAAAATCTTTATTATAATTCCCAGTTTCATATTATTGAAAAAGTCTCTATTCTGAGGAAAATATTTTTTTAACAAACAAAACGTATTTTTTTCTAATCATATCACAACAGTAACAGTGTTACTAATCATTTCTAACTTTGTTGACCTTATAATAGTTTAATCACTAATCAGTCTATATTGAAGAACACAATTGAACAAGACAGCATTATTCATTTTGAATGTTAGCATAGCCTGACTTTATAACTAATCTTACATAATCTTTTAAAGGCTTTTAACAAAACAATTAACAATCTTTTAAAAAACAGTTTATACTTCTTTAATCGTAACACAAAAATTAAACTCTTCTTTGATTTTAATTTCTACACATTAACCTAGTCAACATTTCTTGGTACCTCTGTTTTATCTTAATCAGACTCATTGTTTTCTGAATCACAATTATTACAAACAAAGAAAATGCAACTTCTGTTTGACATAAATAAATTTGTGTTGTACTTCTCGCAGCAAATCAAACAGAAGTATTCAGAGCTGGAATCACTATTAACCTTTTTTGGGAAAAAAAAATTTTTGGCTTTCTACTACTCCATCTGATACAAAAAAATGGATGAGAGAATCTTTCAAAGAAAGGAAGGAAGTAATCAATTTGAAAATAAGTAACGCTATACATGGATTTGTAGATCATGCAAAGAAATAACTTTAAGACACAAACTACACATCCATGTATAGCGTTACTTATTTTCAAATTGATTACTTCCTTCCTTTCTTTGGAGGATTCTGTCATCCATTTTTTTTGTATCAGATGGAGTAGTAGAAAGCCAAAAATTTTTTTTCACAAAAATTAATTACTTCTAAAAATATAACCCCTTTCAATTCACTATTAACCTTTTGTAAAATAGCTTTTTTTCACTTTCTCAACTTATTTAGTCACTTTGCTTTTCTTGTTTAGACTTTTAGCCTTTTTATTATTCAAGGTTTCTTGTTCTATTCGTAGATTTTCTTTTTCTGGTGTATCCGTCAAAATAGCAGTTTTTCGACGCTTCCTAATAATAGTTGACTTTCTTGGTCCGGCTTTAGGTAGTGGTCGCACGATTTCGGGGGAAAAACATCCACACGGATCAACTAATATTGATATCTGTGTATCACATGATGTTGATGGCTGCGGGTGTAACGGCGTTAAAGGCTGTGGATTAGACAATACTGTTGGCAAAGGAGTGGACAATGTTGAAGGCTGTGGCTCATTTCTGACAGTTTCCATAGGACAGTCCGTTATGACACTAGATGCAAAATCAGCGTCACTAAATTTATGTTGGTTGAAGGGAAATATGCCAGTTTTTCCAATCCACTCGTTATGTTACTCGGTATCAAAGCAAAATGCAAAGAAGTGCGGACGATACCAGAAATATCGTATATGGTCATGGTTTTTCCAGCGTTATTCCGCATCCAAGCATCTTGAGCTGAAGACAGATATCTTTTAAAAGGGCCATATACCGCTACGTCAAGTGACTGTAATTTGTGAAAATACTGTGGATGGACAGAGAGCATGACCACTCCATTTTCTTTAGCAACATTTAGTGTTGGTAAAGATGAGTGCGAAGAATGGTTGGCTAAAACCAACAGAGAAGAAAATTCTTTAGAAGGTCTAACGTGCTTGATGAAATGCTGCATAAATATGAAAAACTCGCCATGTGATCCAACCGCTAGAATTCCCAGCACAAATGC